GACTGGAGACCAGGGCAGAGGGACTGTGCTAGTCCAGGTAGGAGATGATGGGGATGGTGGAAGTAGCCAGATACTAGGTATAATTTGAAGGCAAAGGCTGACAGAATTGCTCACTGGAGATGGGGAGGAGGAGTCAAAGCCAACTCCAGGCTTTGGGAACTCAGTGCCTAGAACGACAGATGCCTTCTTTTATTTTTTTAATCCTCACCTGAGGATATGTTTTTATTGATTTTAGAGAGAGGGGAAATGAGGGGGGGCAGAGAGAGAGAAACATCCAGGGCAGATAACTTCTTTATTGAGAATGGAGGATGTGGGCAGGGCAGGTTAGGGACTGGGGTAGGCTCATTAGGATGTTATGTTATCTTAGACCCCCACCACATGTAGAAGCCCACAAGGCAGGGGACACATAGCTCAGGGCACAGGCCTGGCTGAAGGGATACAATCCCAGTAACAAATAATTAATAAGAAAAGTAGTGCCCTGGCTGAGTAGCTCAGTTAGTGTAGTCCCCATACACCAAGATTATGGGTTCGAATGCATAAATAAGTGAAACAATAAATCGATGTTTCTCTCTCCTTTCCTCTATCTAAAATCAATAAAAAAACAAAAACAAACTAGTAATTTTACTCTTAATAATAATGACCACAGAATGATCAGAAAAGGAAATTGGAAGAAATGGGAGCCCGGCCGGGCGTGGCTTGGCGGCTGAACGTCGACCTAGGATCCAGGCGATTGGGGTTCGATTCCCAGTCAGGGCACATGCCGGGGTTGTGGGCTCGATCAATGACTCTCTCATTGTTGATGTTTCTATCTCTCTCCCCTTCTCCTTTCCTCTCTCTGAGATCAATAAAGATTCTAAGTCTTTATTTAAAAAAAAAGAAAAAAAGAAATGGGAGCTGTAGGTCAGGGAACTTGTGTCCTATGGGGTCACCCGTAACGCTCCTGCTTGGGCTGCATTTGCAGCATCCAGGGGCCCAGTCTACCCCACAGAGTGAGTGAAGAGGGAGAAGGTTCTCACAGTGCTCTGCCAGTCACTGCGAGGGTGAAACACCCATTTATATTACATTCATCTGAACCCTGACTCCATGTGTCGCTCCACCAAGTATTTTTGGCATAACTTCAGGAGCCATTGTGGTCACTGACAGCAATACCCCCGGCATATCCTTCAGCATTTGTACCTGTGCCCTCAGTGACTCTCCACATAGGCGCAGATGTCTTGCCCATGCATTTACATATTGAAATATACATTATTATATTTTATTATAAAGATTTTCCCTTTTTTCTACCAGTCAGTGCATGGCAGGAATGGTTTTGGAAATTATTTTGGGGCAGGTTGACAATCTATGGATTTTGTTTTGGGACCACTGGGTGGGCCCATGAAATGTGTGTTATGAGTTGACCAGTTGCTGGGCCTCTGCCTGACACCCACAGCAGGGTCAGACTTCACCTGGGCCTTAGCTTGAGGCTCATTTTCCCTTTGAGATCTGTTGAAAGTGAAGCCTGGTCCCCCTAGGGGAAGGCACTATGAACTTAATAATAGCCCCTTGGCTAGGTGCCTCCCATGGGCGCTATGAGGTCCCCACAATGCAGATGGAGAAACTTGGGCTCAGTGGATGAAAAGACATGCCTATAGCTAGGATGTGGTGGGCAAGGGCTGGACCTGGGTCTTAACTTACCATGTTGGCCATACCAGTACTCCCCCGCCCGCCTGTGGTTCCAATCCTGGCCTGGAGTCCACTTACCCGGAACCTTTTCCGCAGCATGCTGTTGAGGGCAAAGTCATCCTTCCAGGCGCTTTGTGCCTCCTGGATGTGGCTCAGGGTGGGAAGGGCCTTCTTGAGCGTGCTCCGGTCAGCCTCACCGTGCTCCAGGCGGAACATGGCATCTGTCTCCAGTTTCTGTTTCTTCTCATGCTCTGCAAGGATGGGAGTGTGGCTGGGCCTTCTGGGACCTGGCTCAGGCTTGAGGTCAGGGTCAGGGCTGGCTTTGGGGCCACATAAGGTGCTCACCTGTCGTCAGCACCTGCTCATTGTCCGCCATGTCCCAGCGCTCCTCCTTGCGCTGGGCGCCACTCACGATCACATAGTCACAATTGGCAGGGTCTGTCTGCATCTCGATGTAGTTGATGCAGAGGTGGCATTTCATCCGGAATCTGGGTGGTGGGCAGGAATCAGGAGACTGTGCCACCCCAGGCTACTATGTGACCCCTGTGTGCTTCCTTCCACCTATGCACCTCATTCAACAAGTGTTCATCATGTACCTACTACATGTCAGGCTCCATAGCAGGGTACAGCCATGGGTGAGACAGACATGGTCCTATCACTCCTGAACTAACTTTCTGCCTGGAGTTTGTTCACTTGTTCATTTATTCACTCTTTTGTTCATCCATTTCCTCAACAAACCCTCCTGAGATGGGCTGCTCTGTGGCAGTCTTAGCATCAGCTGCCAGGGACATAGCAGTAAAACAAACCAACCTATTCTTGGACGAAATTCCAGCAGGGGCCATATTGCCCACAAAGGCACAAGCAACCAGTGTCAGGTGATGCTCAGCACTTTAGAAAAGGCCTCTTTGAGAGGTAGTATTGGAGTAGAAACCCGATGTGAGGGAAGGAAACTTGCAGATGTCTGGGGAAGATTGAGTGTTCCAGGCAGAGGGAACAGAGGTGGGAGTATCTCTGGGGTAAGAGAGAGGGGCAGTGAGGAGGCTGTGTGGCTGGTGCAAAGTGAGCGAGGGGGAGAATGGGAGGAGGTAAGAGCAGGGAGGGGACACAGCAGAGTGTTAGGGGTCTTGTGGGCCATGGGGAGGACTTTTACTCTGAGGAAGGAGGAAGCCATGGAGGATTCTAGGCAGAGGGATGTGCCAATTGACACACCAGGATGATTTTCAGGACAGAACAGCAGGGAATGGCCATCAGGAAGGGGCTACAAGTTCCCCTCCCACTCAGACTCCTTCACAGCCCATTCACCCTGTGGCCACCCATGTGTCCCCGAGACACCTGCCAGGCTGCCTCTACCTGTAAATTGGGGTGGTGTAGTAATTGCCAACCTTCTTCTTTTCTGCATTGTAACGAACACCTGGAAGGAGAGGGAGAGAGTGAAGGCTCAGGCTCAGGCTCAGGCTCAGGCTCAGGCTCAGGCTCAGGCTCAGGCTCAGGCTCAGGCTCAGGCTCAGGCTCAGGGTCCAGCCACGCTAGTGTCTTTTCCATGGGTGGGGGACAGGTAGGGGTAGTATTCTGCTCCCCTGCAGGGGAGGTACCTCAGGAGGGCACTGAAATTCAAGGCAGGAAAGAGCTGTGTTCAGGCTGTGTGATAGGTGCTCAAGCCACAAAGGAGGGTAGGCAGGAGCCAGAGGGCCTGGGATGAATCCTGATTCCACCACCGATCAGCTGTGTGAGCTCAGGCCAGCAGCCTCATCCCTGTGGGCCTCAGTTTCCCTATTTATGCAATAGGGAATGACTATAATTCCTACTGTACAGGACTGTGAAAACTGCAGGAGCTAATACACAATTGCTAAGAATAGGGCCTGGCTCAGCAAGTGTTCAAGAAGGGCTGGATTTATTATTTTTCTAGAGAATTTTCAGGTTTTTTGTTATTTTGCTGGTTAGATGACATATATTCTTTTATTATTATTATTTTTTACTATATCTTTATTGACTTCAGAGAGAGGAAAGGAGGGGGAGAGAGAGAGATAGAAACATTAATGATGAGAGTCATTGATTGAGCCCGCAACCCCGGCATGTGCCCTGACTGGGAATCGAACCCCAATCGCCTGGATCCTAGGTCGATGCTCAACCTTTGAGCCACGCCTGGCTGGGTGATATATATTCTTGACTCTGTATGACCTTGCTTATCAGTGAAAAAAGCTTAAACTAGAAACACAGAGCTTGGGCTGGTGAGTGGTGTGGCCTAGTTGGGTTTCCCTCTCCTGGGTGGCTGCTTCCATTCATGGCCCTGAGCATGACCCATGTGTGGTGGTGTCAGGCCACACCCCACTTTTCATCCCTTGAGCACCTGGTGGCCTTAGGACAGATTCCCCTGGCTGGGTCTGATCAGGGAGACATGACAGGGGTTCACTTGTCCTCAGCAGTGGGGTGGCTTGGTCCACTGCTTCTTTTTTTTTTTTTAATATATATCTTTATTGATTTCAGAGAGAGGAAAGGAGAGGGAGAGAGAGAGATAGAAACATCAATGATGAGAGAGTCATTGATCGAGCCCACAACCTGGGCATGTGCCCTGACCGGGAATCGAACCTGGATCGCCTGGATTCCAGGTCGACGCTCAACTGCTGAGCCACGCCCGGCTGGGCGGTCCACTGCTTCTTTCTCTTCCACAGCCTCTGTGAGGAGGACTGGACCCTCTTACCAGGAGCCACCAGCTCCTGTTTACAGAACGAGCTGCTCCCTTGATCCAGGTGCTATTTGAGGAGCTGAGAGAGGCGACATGAGGATCCCAGAGGAGGAAACAAAGTCAGGAGAGTTGATTCACCTGACTGAGGTCTCACTACTGCTAAGCACAGCTTTGGACCCACACATGTCTGTCTGTCCATCTGTGCACCTGTGGCACAGTCAGAGGTCCAAATGCTAATGATAACAGTAAAGGACAGTGAGAGCAGCAGACTGAATTTACGAGCCCTTGCATGTGCCATGTGTTGTGCGCTAAGGACTTTATAAGCCACACAGGTGGACACTCAAACCATCTGAATTTTATAGATGTGTAAACTGAGGCACACAGAGGCTCAGTCACTTGCTCAGGGTCATCCAGCTAGGAGGTGAACCCAAAGCCTGGCCTCCTCATCACTCTGCAATGAGGCATCTGCAGCCTGCCAGTCACTTGGGTGCCATCTCCTCCCAGACTCCTGATTGGGAGACCCTGGTGGAGATGACACTGGCGGTTAATGGGCTTCAATGTCTGTGGGACTGAATGGGTGGTGTGGGTGGAAACTCACCCATGCCAATGTGGTTCTTGCAGCCATCACACCAGATGTTATACGGCATCTCGAATCTATACAAAGAGAAAACAGCTTATTTCCTCTGTTCACTGGGCTTTCCCTTAGTCTCCACGCTTGCAACTCTGGCCACAGCCGCTCTACAAAGGGCACGCACATAGAGGGGATAAAGAATGTTTGGTGAATGTTCCTACAGCCAGGCAAGTCCTGCCCGCTGGTCCCTGGCCAGCTGACTCAGTTGGGGTGAGTCTCTGTGGTGCTGCCATGCTTTCTGGCAGCTAAATGGCCGGAAGCAGAGGGGGAAGAAGTGTTTGTATTATCACTGGATTTTTTCACATGTGGTGCGATGTGCAACATGCAGTTCTGGTTTTCTATGAACATCAGTGACAGAGCTTCTCTTTTAAAATAAAACCTTAAGTAATGAATAATGAGGTAAATTAAAGACACTGCACAGAGGTGAGGACTCAGCTACCAGAGTGGATGGTGGTAGTGTGTGCAGGCCCGAGGCAGACGAGCTTATTTGGCTCTAGGGCATGGAAATGAGGGAGTTTTGATGAGACTTTCACCTCTGTGCCTCTTAAAGTCACTGTTGAGACTTGAGTCTTGACTCCTTTCCACAGATGTTCCCACCTCTGATGATTTTGTTACTGGTTCCTCTGCTCAGGCCCAGGGTAGACATGAGACCGAGGTCAGAGTTCACAAGGCAGAGAAGGAGTGAAGGATTTGCTCTTCTGGGGACATACATCTGGCTTCTGCTTCCTGCCATGAAGGGCAGGCCAGAAACAAGAGAATCCCGAGGGAAGGGCCATTGTTCTGGCTCGACTACAGTAATGGCTCTGATTATTTAAAAAAAATATTTTTATTGATTTTTATTTTATTTTATTGTTTTGTTTTAAATATATCTTTATTGATTTCAGAGAGGAAAGGAGAGGGAGAGAGAGAGAGAAACATCAATGATGAGAGAGTCACTGATTGAGCCCGCAACCCGGGCATGTGCCCTGACCGGGAATTGAACCTGGATCGCCTGGATCCTAGGTCGATGCTCAACCGCTGAGCCATGCCTGGCCAGGCTTTATTGATTTTTAAAGAGGGAGGAAAGGAGAGGGAGAAAGAGAAACATCAACGGGAGAGCAAAGCATTGATTGGCTGCCTCCTGAATACCCCCTTCAGGGGATGGAGCCCACAACCCAGGCCTGTGCCCTGACTGGGAATTGAATTAGGGACCTTTTGGTGCACAGGACAAGGCCCAACCAACTGAACTACACTGGCCAGGGAGGCTCCGACTCTTTTTAATTTTTTTAAAATATGTTTTTTATTGATTTTTTTTTTTTTTTAGAGAGAGAGGAGGGAGAGGGATAGAGAGGGAGAAACACTGATGAGAGAAAGACAGCAATCGGCTGCCTCCTGCACATTCCCTACTGGGGATCAAGTCCTCAAGCCGGGCATGTGCCCTGACTGGAACTTGAACTGGGGACCTCTTGGTTCATGGGTGGAGGTTCAACCACTGGGCCATACCGCCCAGGTGGAGGCTCTGATTCTTTAACTTCCCCATATCTATGCCCTTTGCAATGAGACTCTGCAACAGTTCCTGTCAGGAGGTGAACAATATTGCCCCACTCCCTGCATCACGACTCGTTTTTTTGTTTGTTTGTTTGTTTTTTATATATATCTTTATTGATTTCAGAGAGAGGAAGGGAGAGGGAGATAGAAATATCAATGATGAGAGAGTTGTCATTGATCGACCGCCTCCTGCACGCCCCCTACTGGGGATAAAGCCCGGAACCCGGGCATGTGCCCTGACCAGGAATCGAACCCTCATCTCCTGGATCCTAGGCCCACGCTCAACTGCTGAGCCATGCCCGGCTGGGCATGATTTGTTTTGAAAAATTGATGGCACAAAAGTGACGTGTGCCAGTTCTGGGTGTTGGCCTCAAGAGGCCTTGCACACCTCTGCTCACTCTCTTTTGGAATCTGTAGGTATTATATAAACAAGCCCAGACTAGCTAGCTGGCTGGAGGATGAGATGTGGAGCAGAGTCCAACTGTGCCAGCCAAGGCCATGCTGGACCAGCCTGGCCCAGGATAGGCAAGTCCAGTCCAGGCTAGCAGAGGCATTCAGCTGAGCCACAAACTTGTGAGCAATATGTGCTTATTGTTTTGTTATGTGGCAACAGCTGACTGATACAGTGACTCTGTGCTTAATAGAATTAAGACGCTGCAGCCCGGCTGGGCGTGGCTCAGCGGTTGAGCATCGACCTAGGATCCAGGCGATCGGGGTTTGATTCCCAGTCAGGGCACATGCCTGGGTTGCGGGCTGCAGCCGATCAATGACTCTCTCATCATTGATGTTTCTATCTCTCTCTTTCCCTCTCCTTTCCTCTGTCTGAAATCAATAAAGATATATTTAAAAAAAAAAAAGATTTCATAAAATTGCATGCTTGAAACCTACATAATCTTATTAACCATTGTCACCCCAATAAATTTAATTTTTAAAAAAGAGAGAAATTCTAAAAATACAAATAGGAAAACATCACTGCTCAGTTCTAAATCCACCCTTAGCTTCCCATTGCTTTCTGAGAAGGCCCTGAATGATCTGGTCCCTCCCTACCTGTTNCCCTGCAGCACTAGGCAAATTGGAGCACTAAATTCTCCTTGAGATGAGGCCAGGTGGAACAAGGGGCAGGGGTGTTCAGACCTTACCTGATGATGAGGATGCCCTGGGACAGCTTCCGAGCCCGCTCCCGGAGTGGGTGGCTGTTGTGGTATCGGTTGAGAGAGCCATGCTGTGCAGAAAGGAGGAGGGAGCAGGTTAGCACTGCTGAATTGGGCAAGCCCATGCTTTCTTACATAGGCTGATAGAGCCCTCTTTCTTGTGACCTACCAAGGGAATTAATAGCAAAATGGAAGGCACATAGGCTTTGGTGGAGCTAGTGGGGTTGGCTCAGGAATACATGAATTTGAATTTTTCTCCTCCCATTTAAGAAGTGAAGAGCCATGTGACCCAGGGTAGTAACCTCACCTTTTGCCTTCCTGAGCCTTGGTTCCCATAATTACATCTGGGTGTTGTGGGAAGAATTAGGTGAGATGACAACACTGGCAAACGATTACTGGGTACTTTATGTGTGTCGTCTCATTTTAACCTCTCAACGATTCTATGAGGACAGGTTGTTTTATTTCCTTTTTGACATGGGGAAACTGTGGCCTAGAGAGGCTGAGTCAAGGGCCTGGGACCACACAGCCAGATTGCACTGATTCATTCAGCAGGCTTTACTGAGCATCTATAGTATGGGGACACAGCCATGAACAAGATGGAATGTCTCTGCCCTAGTGTAGTGAATGTTCTAAAGGGGGAGACAGACAATACCCAAATAAATAGACAGTGTATCAGGGAGTTATAAGGGCTGTGAAGAGAAATAAAGCACCAGGTAATGAGATAAGAGAACGAGACGGTGGTCAGGGAGGCCCTTTGTGAGGAGAGACCTAAAGGAAGGGAAAAAACCCTTGTGGTCAAAAGGAGGAAGAGATTCCAGGTAGAGGGAACAGCAGAGAGTACAAGGAGACCAGAGGAGCTACAGCTGGGAAAGCAAGGAGATTTCATCCAGAGCCTGAGTGGCTGACCACATCCTGAGCTCTGCTGGAAATATGCCAAGCTGAGCACAGAGTACAAGGTCATTGATGAGAGCCATGTTTACCACTGGGAATGAAGACTACCCCGAGACTCGTGTCACAAGAGCAAGGCAGAGAGATCTCAGGTTCACCACACTTCTCAGCTGTAGCTCCAATTCAGGAGGGGCTGAGGTACCGATTGGCCCTTGCCCTGTAGGATCTCTGCTATTATGGACATGGAAAAGGATGTCTGACTCTTACCTTTTCAGGGTTGAAATCTGGAGGGTAGTACTTGTTTACACCTTTCCTTTCACCCTAGAAAGCAGAAGAGAGACATGACTCAGAGAGGGTCCTGTAGGAGACCTAGTGGTACACCCTAGAGAGGTGGGAACTGGATGAGGGAGACTGAGGATGGCCCTGGGCTCCATGTCTGATTGAGGACTGGTGACCTGGGAGAAAAAAACCACTGTTTTTGTCACGGAAAGTTCCATGAGGGTTCAACCCTCCTAGAGCAATGACTTTTAGTATTTTGGGGGCTATGACTTACAGTAAGACATATTTACCACTGCAACTGGGCAGATACATGTGTAATACAGCTAAGGTACAGGTTTCATGAAAGAACCCTTACCCTGACTGGGGAGTCTCTTTTCAAATGCTAGCAGCCACTTGCTGAGTTGACTGAATGACCCACCAAAGCAGTGGGTCTCAAACTTGCTGCATGTTACAACCACCTGAGGAGTTTCTAAAATACTGCTAACTGGGATCCACCCCCAGAAAACTCCTGACAGAGGACCTGCTCTGGAGAGTGGTACCTGAACATTGGGCTTTTAAAAAACCACCTGGAAAACGTGTTTAAACAAATACTTGTATGTACTTGTTCACAGCAGCATTATTCACAAGAGCCAAAAGGTGAAACAGCCCAAATGTCCATCAGTGGATAAATGGATAAACCAAATGTGGTCCATCCACACACTGGAATATTATTCACCCATAAAAAGAAATGAAGCTCTGATACATGTTATGATGTGGATGAACTTTGAAGACATTAAGTGAAAGAGGCCAGACATAAAAGCCATATGGTGTACTATTCCACTTATATGAAATGTCCTGAAAAGGCAAATCCATAAAGACATGAAGCAGATTAGTGGTTGCCAGAGGCTGGAGGAGGGGGAAAAGGGAGTGACTGTTAATAGGGAAGGGGTTTCCTTTTGGGTGATGGCAATGTTTTGGAACTAGATAGAGATGATGTTGCACAACATTATGAATGTGCTAAATGCCATGGGATAATACATTTTAAAATAGTTAATTTTTTATGTGAATTTCACCTCATTTAAAAAAATCAAAGAAAGAAGAAAGCTTCTTGGGTGATTTTAGTATGCAGCAAAGTTTGAGAACTACTGCAGCAAAAGATCACGAATCCAGAGTTTGAAAATACCATCTCAGAGCATGGGGAAGGGGCTTTAGGGAAGGAAGGGGCTACTATGGGGATCTGATGAAGGCTAGAAAAGAGCCCGGCCAGCATGGCTCAGTACTTTGAGCATCAACCTATGATCCAGGAGACCGCGGTTCAATTCCCAGTCAGGGCACATGCCCAGTTTGTGGGCTCAATCCCCAGTGGGGTGTGTGCAGGAGGCAGCCGGTCAATGACTCTCTCATCATTGATGTTTCTATCTTTCTCTCTCTCCGCCTCTCTGAAATCAATAATTAAAAAAAAAAAAAAGACTAGAAAAGAACTCCAAGGAGCACAAGCCAGTCTACTCACCATCTTGGGAGCTGCCTACTGGTCTTCACCCTCAACGCAGCCAATCTGAAAAGACAAGACACTGACACCGACTGTGCTGTGTTGACCATCTGCCCAGACCCACTCTCCTGGGGAGCCGGGCAGAGGGATCACGGCTTCCCTGAGAAGATAATGTGGGCCGGGTGTGGTGTTGGTCACTCAGAAGAGCCTCCCCCCAGGTATAGAAGGTGTCCAAAGAGCAGTGTTTGTTGGTTTAGAAAGAGTGTCCTGTCCACTCCATCCAATATATATTCACAGCTAACGTTTCTCACCCCTCCACAGCCCGTGTCATCACTCCCCTGGATCAGTGCAGTCACCTCTCTCTGGTCTCCTCGCTCTGCCCTCAACTCCCACAATCTGTTTCTCCCACAGGGGCCAGGAGGATCTCTTAAAAAATAAATCTAAAATATTGCTCTCCTGCTTAACCCCCTCCAGTGATTCCCATTGCTTTCAGAATCATGTCAAACCCCTCCCAGTGGCCTATGGGGCCCCTGCCTGCCTCCAAGCCTGCCTCTCATCCCTCTCCCTTGTGTTCACTCTGTTCTAGTCACTCTGGCTTTCTGGCTGCCTTCAGAGGCTAAGCAGGTGCAGGCCAACTGACTTGAGTGCTCCTCCAAGAGCTGTCTGTTCTTTGTCACAGGTCTCAGCTCAAACATCACTTTTGTCAGGGGCCTCATCTGAGTCACTTCTCCCTTGGGGTTCCTATCACATCACTCTATGTCTGTTTACTTGCCTATAGTTTGTCTCCTCTGCAAGGTCTCACCTTGCTATATCACTAGCACCAAGGACAGTGCCTGGCCTCAGATTCCAACAGAAGGCCCTGACCAGGTGGCTCAGTTGGTTGGAGCATCGTCCCATCCACCAAAGGGTTGCAGGTTCGATCCCGGTCAGGGTGCGTACAGGAGACAACTGATTGATGCTTCTTTCTCACATCGATGTTTCTCTCTCCCTTCCTCTCTCTCTAAAATCAATAAACATATCCTTGGGTGCGGATAAAAATAACTTAAAAGAAAAGAAGCTGATATTGAAAAAACAAACATTCTAACATATGAATCACTGGTAAACTGACTGAGGTTCCATAAGAATCAGTGCAGGTGACACAGGTATCAAATGCAAGGGCTCCTAAAACTGGGGGTGAGACATCCCCTGTACCCTGCATGTTTGGAGGAGAGACTTTTAGGTCCAGAATGGGGATTGGCAAATTTTCTGTTAAGGAACATATAGTGAATACTGCTGGCTTTCTGGACCAGACTGTCTCTGTCCCAACAACTCAACTCTGCCCATCATAGCTAGAAAGCAGCTGGACAATAGGTAAATGAATGGGTGTGTCTGTATGTCAATAAAACTGAAATTTGCATTTCACATGATTATCACCCGTCATAAGATATTATTCTCCTTTTGAGTTTTCCCCAATCATGTAAGAAGTTAATACCTCTCTAAGCTGGCAGGTTGTACAAAATCAGGCTGGTTTTGGCCTGTGGGTATAGTCTGCCAGCTCGCTCCCTGTGCTAGTTAGGAAGCTTGGTTTAATTGTTTCTGCTAATTTAGCAGTTTGCGCTCTCTAATGGTTACTGTGTGCCAGGCGCTGCACTGAATCTGACATCACTGCCTCATTTACTCTGTATTGTTACTATTATCTCCAATTGACATGGGGGCTTAAGTAACTTGCCCAGGGTCAGAAGCTGATGGGGAGGCAGAACCAGGGTGCAAAGGCCTGAATGGAAACTGTTCTGACATTGTCCTGAACTTCTCTCTATCTTGGGTCCTCTATCTGTAAAGTGTGCTCCTGGACCAGATTTTCCTAAGGTCCCTTCCAACCTAAATATGCTTTTGCTAACAAAATAGCTAATGGCCCACCCTGGCTTTGGGGTCACAATTCCCTGGGCATGAATCTCAGCTTTACTCCGCAGGTGAGTAAGGAGTAAAGCTGAATTTATATTTCTTCACCTGTAAAGAGCAGATGGGGGCGACAGGACTGACTTTCTGGGGATGCTGTGGATGAAATAACACATTGGGAAGTGCTTGCACAAAGTACTGCATTTACAGAGCTGGGGGTCTTAACGTGGTTTTACCACCCCAGTGAATGGTATAGCGGAGGCTATAGTCAGGATATATAGAAATCTCTGATCCTTAGTGTCAAGAGTAATCATAGCCTGCACTCTCCCATGACATACTGCTTGGACTCGGATACCGACTCTGCTGCTTGCTAGCGGCTTGACTTTGGGCAAGTTGCTTAGTCTCTTTGGGCCTCTGTTTCCTCATCTATAAAATGGGGTTTACAAAAGTATCAACCTGATAAGGTTGCAGTTAAGACTCAGTGAGTTAAAGTTGTCAGAACAGCTACTAACGCCGAATTGAACGTTGGTGGTTTTGATTGTATCTCATGTCTACAGTTTTACACGCGTCATTTTACAAAATCTTCACCACTACCCGGAGCGGTAGGAGCTTACTGGTTCCATTTTCCTGATGTAGTAAACCGAGGGGCCCTTCAGGCATAATATGGGCCAGCGCTGAGTCAGGGGTCACGGCCGTAGCCGGGGATTTGGGTCGGGGGTGGCGACTGGGACCTGGGCTGGCTCGGGACATCGGGCCCGCGATCTCAGAGCCCCGGGGACCCCAGCGTGCTCGTGCCCCCAGGGCGGCTCCGAGATTGGGTAAGGTAGCAACTTGACACCCCCTCCGCTCCCCTCCCGCCCCCAGCCCTACCGG